AAAGAAGCTGAAAAACACTTGCTTCTGAAGGTCCTCCATTTAGAAATTAGAGATAAGGTTGATGCTATTAAAACTCTTAGAAATATCTGCTGTCAAATATAACTTTCAAATGTGCATAAGGTACGTTGCTGTTTTCCCTCTTCTAATGAGCTCATTGTTTTTACATTACTCTTGATTCATAAGTATTTCAGTTATGTAACAATGTGTTCAATAATAGAAGAGGAGACAGCCTGAAGCATCTATCTTTTAAAAACTGGCATCTTTCCACAGTTCAGATGCAGAAGCCTTGGTGCAAATGAAAAATTAAGACACGCTCTACATAGTTGGCAGTACCATTCATTTCATTTAAATTAAATATCTATAGGCAAATTCCCAATTTTTAAGGAACTGTTGCTAATACCAGATTCTGTTGAGTATATGCATGGTGACTGACGCAATCACTGAGCCTACAAACTAGACTTACTTAACGTATGTTGTCTTCTGTGTTGCCATATAGTAACAATTCTGCTCTTTCCAGAGGGATTTATATTGGATGTTTGAATGCTTGCTGCCTCTTGTGGTCAGTCTGTTGGAGGTATCTCCTTTGGTTTCCCTTCTCTGATTAAAGTTTATTAAAATTATTTTGAAACATAAGTAAGTTTTGCTGGCCAATATGCAGTCATCACTGTAGAGTACTTAAGTGAAGGGGCTTTATTTTTATTTCCTTCTTTCTCCTTACTCCCTTTTCCTTAGTTCTTATGCAGCAGATTGTGCAAGCATTTCCCTTATTTTTCTGATAACAATGAGTATCTGGGTTCCTCGAAAATAAATACTAGAATTTTGTGTGTGTGTGTGTGTTATTAGCACAGCAGGATGCTTAGCCCTAATTTGAGTTACATGTTGCTAAAGTAAAGAACTGATCGTTGACATACACCTCCCTACCCACAGTTTTGCCCCCCCCTTCCATAGCTTGTTGCTGGATTTGGCCAGGCTAAGTGGCATAGAAAATAAATTGGAGGGGACCAACAAGGTCATTGTTCAGGAACAAAAGCTTGGACTTGGGCTGGACAGTGAAATCAAGGTTAAGTGTTCATATTTTATTCTGGCAAGCTTTTCTAAAATTCAACTAAATTTCAACTAAAATTGTAGGCTAAGGTGGCATAGATAATGAGGTCTCTTGATCTCAGAGTGGGCATCTCAAAGATCATCTGCTTTATGAAGTTTCCATCATTTGAGGCAGAAATGTCCCTAATATTTAACCCGAAACATAAATATTGCCCTTTAGATTTGGGAAGACATCCTTGATTCAGACAGCTTTTTCATAGTTTCATGTCTGTAAATAGCCCAAATTTCAGGATGCTCAGTTCTGAGGTTCCCACTGTGTAGCTCCCATCTGAAATATACCGAAATCTGCTTATAATAAACACAGGTGTAATGAAAATCCTCTTTATAATAAAGTAAAATTAAAGCCTGTGTCTGTTCAGTGATAAGCAGTGGGTTTAATGGTGTTACTTTGCAGAGGGCTTTCTCTCTGGAACGTAATAAAGGTCCAGGAAGTCCCACTAAACTGAAGAGCTGATAAACACCTCATCCACTCCCACAGTCATGAGATGAAAGCGAAACCACTGGCAAAGTTCCTAGCAGCTCTGTGGTAAAGTAAATAAAGCATTTACTGCTACTCTTTTTTGATTCAAACGTGAAAAGGTGAGCTTGCTAGTATGTCTGTGACCAGCAGAATTAACAGGAACTATTCCCTGTCTTTCTGAATAGAGAAAGCCCTGCTGATAGTAAAACCACCTATGAAGGAAAAACCCTTGGAGGGCAGGGGAAAGACCCTAACCTTTCTCCCCACCCCCAAGAAAAACCTAACAGAGCTGAAGCTACAGGCCACCATTTATTATTAATACGTATGAGCTGTACGTATGAATTGTAATTTGATACAGGGAGTGTAGTCTTCCTTAATGCTTTTGATGGTAGATAACTGCTTTCATTAGAATTTCCAGATAAATGGCTTGGGTTGGAAGAAGAGATGCTCTAAGGAAGCCCAGGGGTCAGGACAGGATGATGACTGGCTTGAGAGTGGGAGCTCTTGCTGCGGGGAAAACCTCAGGCCTGGCCTTGTGTTGCAGTTCCCTTAAAAGTTTTTTGGGTAACAGCATGACATTCCAGGAGAGCCATTGCTAGCACTGGATCAGTTGCGTCAAGGGAACTCCAGATGGTTCCTCAAGAAGGGTTTCCCAGCGTCAAGGAGAGAGATGACAGGATAGTAGGAGAGGGTGTTCGAAGGCTGTAGCTGCTATTGGCAGGACAAGCATATGTCCTGTTCCTCACTCCTTCCCTCCACAGGCAGTTCAACAGCCTTGTTTCCAGGATGTGTTGCGTTTGCTGCAAATGTATACAGGATTATTCGTTTCTGATGTACCAGTGTGCCAAGTCATTACAAGCATCTGAACCATGCTCCTGGACAACACAAACTGGAGTACTGTCATGTTACTGTTGAAGTAGTTTCCCTGAGGAATTTATGTCTGTATATGTTATATACACACGTACTAAGTATGGAAATACCAAATTGGCTGAAAATGTTAGGTGAATAGGGTGCTCTGCAGATGCTTTCAAATATCTGTCCATACCATTAGCATATGGCTTGGATTCCGCCTAGCTTTATTGAAGTAGTAGAATAGCTTATGTCTTAAAAAAAAGGAAAAAATGAAAAACATTATAGGAAGTACTAGTGCTTGACTTATATGTTGTTTTGGTGTGTTATTATTGCCTTTGCTACACTACTCCTACTACTTTAAGAAGCTTATTTAAGCGTAGTTGACAGTAATGTGGTAGGTGATGTGGAATCAAATATACTCTAACTGATTCACAAGCAATAACCATGGTGTGATTTTTTAAAAATAATCAGAGAGCAACAGTCTATTTAAAATGCTTAACCCATATAATATATATAACATTATTATATGGTTACACATGATGCAACGAGTTGTGGAGTTTTATGCCACTAGTGTTGTACTTCCTTTTTAATAACTGAAGCTGATGTCCTAATGGCAGTTCAATTGCTTCCACCATTTTTTGAGGTGTTACTAATTAAAGACACATTTGAAACACAGCAAGTCGAAGTCTAACTAAAGTAAAACTTGGACTATTCACGTATGGCATGCAGAAAGGGTGTACAAATAAGTAGGTTTGCTTAATGCCCCCAATGTTAATGGTGTAGGCACACTCCACTGCATCATGGCTTCTAAAAGCAAGGGCAAATATGACTTACCAATGGGGGTAGACTCACATCAACTTCACATTAAGGAGAGGGCAGGGGCAAGGGGAGAGCAAACTCCTGTGCTGGAGATGAGAAACACAGCTGGAAAGCATAGGCAGAATCAAAGTCCTCATGCATAAGGATGGCAATATCACTTCCAGACCTTCTCCTTTCCCTGTCCTGTTGGTTTCACTCTTTGGGATTTTACTTTGGCCTTTGCAGTCTAGCCTTCCTGTTCTATTTCATACTAAGATATTTGGTAACAGATGTGTAAACTTTGTTGGGAAACTAGCAAAGCAACCAAAACCATGACAATGTGCACTAGAGTAGGTTCTTCTGTGTTCAGCAGCTCACTGAAAACACGTAACACTGTTTGTTGTTGGTCTGATTTAAGTTTTTGTGTCCATGCTCATACAGAGGAGAGTAACCTCAGGCATCAGGGAGGATAGTATTACTATGATGACTAATGAAAACCCACTTTGTTTATAATTGGGCATTGATTCTTCTCTTGTCCTTCTGCATGAATTCATACACCATACTGTCCTCCATTTGCAAACTCGTATTGGGGAAAACATTTTCTTCTAATAGCTGCTTTTTGAAATTGTGCCCTCCTTTTCATCCTTTCTGAAGACACTTTGCAGGAGCAGAATGTATTTAAATCCTTGCGTTTCCAGAATTAACAGAAGCAGCACTCAGAGCAGGGCTGCGTTGCCGCAGAGGGGCAGGAAGGGTGGAACGAGTCTCTGTGCTATAAACCTCCTGACTGTGGGCGTGGGATGTGCAAAGACTGATCACTTGCAAAGGAGATGAGAACTGTGGCTGTTCTCAGAAAAGCAGAGCAGGCTTTCAGCCTGAACCACTGCAACTGATCCCTTTAACTCTTGATTTGGATCATGTGTCTAACCCTGCTCACCTTTTTCCTTTAAGAAATATAAGCATACCCATCCCTGCCCCCCAAATGAGCCTACCTGCTGTACAAAGAATGTAGATAAATAATAGCAATTATCCACCTTGGTGCATTACTCTGACTTTGCCTGTGGCTTTTCCTTGGATCAGATTGAGTTGAATGACTTAATGGCAGCGGACAACAAAAGACTAAACAGTTCCTTTGTGGCTTAACTCATTTAGATGACTGACAAAATGTATGTATCGTTGAGTTTATAGATTAAGAAAGGAAAAATCAGTGTTTTTGAGACATCATAAATGTATTTTTGTAAACACAAAGTATATTCATACAAACCATGTACTATTTCTGTATTTATTTGTTTTTCTTTGTAGCAGAACAAATGCATGGTTCACCTGTAAGCCTAAAAGCAGTATCTTGCTTCTTCACTGTATAATTCTTGATCTGAGTAGCAGGGAGTCTTATGAACCATTTTGAGCCAATGTTAATTTTATAAATTGCATTCCCTTTTCCACAATTCCCATGAAAAAGGTATTCAGCTAGATGAACACTCTTGGAAAATTTTAATAAGACCCTTGAAATCTGAATTCAGCTTGTTTAAAAAAAATCTCTTTCTAATGGAAACTGTGAAAGTATCAGAGATTCTTATGCCTTAGAGGCAATTTTTTTTCCATACGTAATCATGAAACTCCACTGTTATAATATATGGGTGTTTGAAATATTCTCTTTGTTAAATTGAATCTCTGGCTTAGAAGTATGTGAGTTGGGCTCTTTTTGTTTGTTTTATGTGACTTTTATTATTATTCTTGGTCAGCATTCATATGATTTTCATAGCACTTTCTGTATTCTTTTTTCCAGTCTTTTCCTGGCCCAAGTCTTGAAAGTGAAGATTTTAACATACCTCCTATAACTCCTCCGTCATTGCCTGACCACTCCCTGGTGCACTTGAATGAGATAGAGTCTGGGTACCACTCTCTGTGTCATCCCATGAACCACAACGGCCTCCTTCCATTCCACCCACAAAACATGGATCTACCTGAAATTACAGTTTCCAACATGCTTGGCCAAGACGGGGCACTCCTTTCCAATCCCCTCTCTGTGGTAAGCATTTTTAGTCTTCCCCTTCTGTACTACTTTAAGTTGCGAAATCATGGAAATACAGACCTGCTTGAAATCCTCAGAGGGGCCAGCTCCTGCACCACTCAAGTCGTGGAGCAAGCTGGCCTGGCTCTGGGATTTACATCGCACTCCCTATGTCAAATCCGACCCCCTCTGGAGGCAGCGGGGGTTTTACAGCTGAGTTCCTCAAAGCCAGGATGTTACCCGCTGCCTTGAGTAGAATTACTCCTGCTTTACATGGATGTAAATAATGACAAAAGGAGGCTCAAGGCTTTGACTTCCACTGGAGCAGGGTTTGGATCCAGATGGCCGTTGTTCTGTGTTTGTCTGACGAGGCTCTTTCCATTCTCATTTGCATGTGCTGAGAGATGTACAAAAATTTAATATCTCCTTTCTTGTTTACTGCACGTTTGGAAAACAGCAAATGTTATTTCTGATTCTAGGCCAAATCTTATAGCCTTTTTACAGTTCCCAGTCCTTAGCCAGCCAGAATCCAACTGAAATGACTGGACGATTTGCTTATAAAGTCTGTCAGATAGTCATTATGGTCGTAATCTTGGGAAGCCTGATATTATAAATCACTTCTTTGAATGTTAAATTGCTTGCAACAACTGCAGAGCTACTTTACATGTTACATTTTCAAGTGGGCTCTACAAATAATTAGTATACTTCTTGCATAGCCACTCCAGACAAGACCATTTTACGGAAGAGGGCATTATCTCACGTCAATGTTCAATTCTAAGCCAAAGAGTTAAAAATCCCATGGAAGAGGATGGGGCCTTGTGTTGTGTGGGCCTCAGTGGACTTCAGGGACTCTGCTAGATGGGCTGCCCAGGAGCTGCAGATCCAGACAGCCGAAGTTAAGGATCTGCCGTTCCTAGAGATCCAAAGGTCTGGGCTTCTCACTGGAGGATCAGAGGCTTAGGGGAGCTGGGAGGCTCTGCGCTTAGGGACTGAGGCTGTTTAGGCTTCCAGCTTGCTAGCTCCCCATCACATTACCTAAAAAAAAAAAAAAAATCGATCTTGGGAGCCCGGGAGATGAGGCAGCATATGGAGGTTTGTGGGCTGAGGGATCTAGGCTCATCTTGCCATCAGCCCCTCAGATTAACAGCCCCAGAGCCAGGGACTGGGGGGCCATGGTGGCCAGAAAACAGTTAGTTTACAACTAAAATCTGCCTTGTCACAGGGCTTCATTGCAACTTAATTAAAATAAAACTGCCTTGATTTCAAGGAGCTCTGCATTCCCTCTGAGGATGTCCAACAAACTGTACTGCAGGTGGGCTGGCTTCTTATGTGCTGCTTAGTTGTTATTGATTTACTAGGAAGTTGCATGCTTTGTGTTTGAGGTCAGAATCTGACCCCAGGGTTATGTTCAATAATGGGAGGAGAGGCGGAGAGGCAGATTTTCGTAGAGAAATATAAATATACTTCGTGGGAATGTTCTGAATTTTGCTTGCATTTCTGCAAAGCTGATGGCATGCATTAAAGAGCATGAGCTAAATCTTCTGTGGGCTTCTGAGAATCAGAGCTATGAAAGGACTTGAAAAAGTAAGAGAAATGCATGGCACTCCAGACAAGACAAGCGGTATTTCATTGAATTAACCTCTTTTGAGCCCTGGCTATGGCTCAAAACTATGCATTCTTTTAAGCTCTGATGTTCCACATTAACCTCTTGCAACAAGCTCTGAACAAAGGGCTTTGAGAGTTTATAGATCATCACAGAGAATTATTGCATCGAGGGCAAATACAAAAAAGCTGAATAATATAACTAGGCAATTTTGCTGTTGGGACTTATTGCAGACCAGAAAAAATGAAAATCGGACCTCAAGAAAGTATGCGCTAAATTTTGTCAGTCATTTCTGAGGATTCATTCAATAAATGAAGCATGATCCTTGAAGCATCATGGGCTAAGTCAACTGTTACCCCTAACTTCCATGCCCTTTGCACACAAGAGGGCCTTTCAACTAGCAATAGTTTTAACTCAAACTGGCTTGTCCATTAAGGGAATTCTCACATTAGTACAACTGGTAGGATATTAACACCACAATTTTGTATGGCTCAAACACTGTTTGGCAGTGTAGTTCCTCTGATTTGAATGTGATAACTTGAGAGGAATTAACTTGATGGAGATAATTAAAGTTAATTCTTCAGTGAATTCAGTGACTTCTTCAGTGAATAGAATGGCCCTATTGTTCTTTTGGCTTTCCATTGATGAAGAAAGACAGAGGATTTTGTAGAGTTAGCATTCTTTACTTAGCTTTGAAGCTCTTCTTTATAATCCAGAACCTTTTACATTTTTTCTTCAGTATGACTCTTTTCTCTTGATATTACTCATCTGTAAGTTACCTTTTTACTATCTCATCAAACTCTGATCCATTTAACAAGTACTTGCCTAAATCACTTTTATATTGCCTCACATAGAAAATAATGTATAAGTTTCTCCAATCTATCTAAACCCTTGGCGCCATATAATTTCTGGTATATCAACTACCGCTTAGTGTATTTGGAAACCATGTATCTCGCTTCATTTTTCAGGGCACTAATGAGTATTTTTAGAAAAATTATTCTTAGAAATGAATCTGTTGGCTGTTCTCTAACCCTAATTAATTTCACATCTTCAGCAAATTTTACTTATATTGGGACAAATTCAGCTGTGGTGCAATGCGCCTCTGATTGAATTTGGTTGATTTTTTTTTTTTACTTTCAACATCCTTCCTTTTAGCCAGTTTTTAACCCATGTTGGTATTTTAGCAATAATACCTTCCTTTTTGTCTGTGTTAGAACTAGTGAGTGGTTTTCAGTTGGTGTTTTTATAGACAAAGCCTTAATTAATGCTAGCCAAACAAGAGAAAGGAAATACAGTGAGCTCAGAAACAAAGCAGAAAAATAGTTTGTACACTGACTGTAGCATTTTACTTTCATCTCAGCTACCAGGTGTTTTCAGATGAGGATTTCCATGATTTTGGACAGCTTGAAAATTGAGGATGTACCCCTCTTAAAAATCCTTCAGAACTCCCCCCATTAGAAGTCCTGGTTTCATACGGTGCAGCACTCCCTCCAAGCTGCAGATGGAATCCCTTTGAGTAAGGATTGCAGGATTTGCCCCAAGCTCTGTAAGAATTCTCCTCTGTGGAAGTGCTTAAAGGCACATAATAAGAGCCCACTACCAGCTCAGTGAATTCTTATTAGGGATCAGCTTCTTACAGATTTTTTACACTGTGGGAATTGTTTCTAAAAAATTTTACAATGCTGGGAGATTAAAATTTCCTGTTGCCATTTACTGTGTCCGATGCTTAAATTTGGAATTAGCCTTCTTTGAAGTTTTTTTTGATTGATTGGACTTCCTATTGCACGCCCACTACTTTAAAAAAAAGAATCACTAAAATTTCCCTTTCCATTATTCTGCTGTCAGTTCATATATTGGCTTCTATGTTTATGTATTTCTGTTTTCTGCTTAAGTGACATATAGGCACATGCACACGCACACTAATTTATACCATGCTGTCACACACAGATTTCTTTAGGTGCTCATTATATCTGGATATTAGGGGTTCAGAAGTCCACAGAATTTGTGTAGAATGTGACACACAGTGGTATGAACACACAGTCCGGCCCCAGCATGATTGGCCACGTGTGGGAGCTCTCTAAAGTCCTCCTTCAAAATGGACATGACTTCTATTCCTGCTTCTTAAGTGGATCCAATTAGATATAGATAGAGCTGTTTAATGAAAATGTACTGATGGTGCTGTATGCATGTTTGTTTCTATATAATGGAATAGGGATTCCTTCCTGATTTACTACATGCCCCATGTAGGTTTGGTTCAGTTCCAGTTGGGCTTGACCTGCCAGCACTTCTCTGTTTGCATGAATTTTCCTGAAATATTCCAAGGACCGGAAGAAATACCTTTCTAGCATTTGCGAACAAATGCATGTATATACCATCCTTATGAGAATGCGTGTTTATCTGTAAAAATGCTTTTGGATGTGTTCTATAAAAGGAGTTTTACTGTTTGTTCATTTTATCAACAAAATTGTAGACATTTCAGCTTCTTTACTGTATCCTATAGATGATTGCTTTTTTCCCCAAGAAACCAGGGTTAAAAATCACAGTGCTGTTTTTACATAGAGGAAAAAACCCTATTTTGGGAATGCTTTCATTTATAATCTTATGCTGATCTTTTTGAAAATGTGGCTCATGATGGTATACTATAGCAAATTTACAAGAAAGAAATAAAAAGAGACTTTAGTTTCTTGAAATGCTTCAAACTTCTGGGTTTGAAGTTTAAAGTGGAAAAGATGTTAAAAGGCAATAAAATCAGGGGATTTATTTCCCGAATGCTCTACTTGTGCTGGCAACAAAAGCCAGCATAATGTATATACTTAGGTTTATTGTCATTTTTAGTGTACAGTCAAGGCACACTTTGAATTCAAAGGCTACTGTACAACTGTTTTGACAACCACCACATCAGTAGGTAATGTGCAGGACATATGAAACTGAAGCAAAAATGTTTCTTTAGGTCTATAGGGAGTACAGTACATCAATGAATTCAGATATATTAGAGCAGCATGAATTTCTAATATGTTGCTCTTATGGAAAAGACCACTGGCATATTGAATAATGCCGCTTTCAAAGCAGAGCAGAAAATGTGATTACAGACAATTTCACTGCTTTTTTTAAAATAAATATTTTCAAAATCTTGAAGTATTTTATTTCATGTAATGCATAAAATATGTAACAGTGGACTAGAGCTAAAGATCTTCTAGGACACCAAAGAGTAGATGATGTCAGCTATAATTATTCAGATGTGGAATAATAAAAGCATTAGTTTAAAATAAAATGCATGTCACAAAGGCCTATGTCCTTATATAAAAAAAAGCAATAAAAAGCTTTTTTCTTTGCACACTTTGACAGAAGAATAAAAGCAATGAATAATTATTTAACATTATGCCCCAATTCATCAAAGCCTGAACAATTACATTAT